CATCGATTTACATATTAAACTCTTTATTTTTTGCATACATTTACAAGGCGCAGTGTAAAACCACATTTTCTATTTATAATAGGGCCTTAACTATTTCAGGAACAAGTCAGTTCGGTGATAATCTTCTGGGCATCTTTATAAAAATATTCTTCAAATTGTATGTATTCCAAATGAGATCGTGGCTTTTCAATATTGTTATTCCAGAAACCATCGTCCTTCCGGAGGTAAAAGTAGTAAAGACTCATTCAGGATGATTTTTCTTTTTTAAGAAAGCTGGCGTTTACGGGAGACCATTAGGGTCAATCAAATGAAAAACAAAAAATATTCTGAGTATCTTGTAATTACATGATAACAACACCAACATTGAATTCTAATTCGTGTTTTTAATTTCAAATATTATGAAAAATATTGAGTTAGAGACTGAGCTCCTTTATATTTTGCAAAAGCTAAATCTGTCAATTGCAGGTCTTTCTTTCGGCCTTAATTGTAATATAAACTGTTAATTAGACATTTATTAACATGACAAGATTTGAATCATATCTGCTGTTCAACGGTCGTTGATGGTTAACCGTAAAATTGGTTTTTGTTTTCGTTCGTTAACTTCTGCAGAAAATAAAAATTGTGTAAAGTCAAAACAAAGAAAAACAAAAACGGCCAAAAATCAAAATTTAAAGAAGTTTTCCGAAAAAATATAAATAGCGTTCTTTGACTTCAAGGAGAGAATTAAAATTGATGAATCATGATATTAATATGAAGCTAGTGGGAGGATGAAGTTAATGAGAGTTTGAACTTTATGATTGTAATGGAGGCAAGAAAATAACGGATGTTATTTATGTATTTATGGGAGCATGACATGAATGTGCCGATTCTGTAAAATAAAGTACGAAGTTGGCCTAACTGTTTACCATAAATCGGTGTATGGCGACCTTAAAATAAGTTACTCGAGGGCTTCTCCGTATCTTGTAATTACAAGATAATCAGATTTTTATACGCCTACATTTTCATGTGAACGTATTATGCCGTCTCCCCTGTTTGTCCGTCCGTCCGTCCGTCCGGACATCCGTCCACAATTTGTTTGTGGACACTCTACAGGTCACAATTGAAATGCATGTTTATAACCCAAAGATCTTTGTTGCTTTCGATATTCGCGCATGTTGGATCGAAACATCATGAATTATGGCCCCTGATTGTACGAAAAATCTCATTTTTAGATTGTGGACACAATTTTTAACCAATTTTGATGAAACTTGAAATGCATGTTTATAATCCAAAGATCTTGGTTCATTTCGATATTCACGCATAGGCCTATCGGATTGTAACTTCCAGGATTATTGTCCGTGATTGGTCGAAAAATCACATTTTTAGCTTGTGGATTCGCTAGAGGTCACAATTTTTTTTTTGATTTTAAAAACCGTTTAGATCACTATCCCACCATAATGAAGGTTGCATTGGAATTTTGGGAAAATCGAAATGAAAAAGCCGACAAAATGGCCGCTCTTTGTATGCAAATTGTATATAAGTATGTAATTCAAAGGTTATGGACCCTCTAGAGGTCACAATTTTTATCCAATTTTGATGAAACTTAAAACATATCTTTATATTCCAAAAATCTCCGTCCCTTTTGATATTTGCGCATTTCAGACCATATCTCTCTGGATTATGGCCCCTGATTGTACAAAAAATTGTTTTTGGTTTAAGCTTGTTCTCTATCCATCTCTTGCAAAATGTGGGCGTACCCTGCCTGGCAGCCGCTGGTTTTTCATTTGATTGACCCTAATGGGCTTCCGTAGGCGTTCATCCTTCTTGTTAGTCACAGCAATAACTTTGTTATGGATCTGGAAGAACGAACTCGGGTTATTTGTAATGATTTGTGCTCCTTTGTTTTTTTGTAGTTGACGCCTTATACTCCATGTAACGATAAAATGACGTCATGTGTAGACTTAAACATTGATGGTAGAAGTAAACGGTTCAGGTAAGAGTAAAGACGGAACCTCCCCTGTCCGTAAAAGACTGTTGTCCCTCCCCATGGACGCCTATAATAGTCCCAAGGTGACCGAAATAGGGGATACGCTAACCACAATCTGTTCCTTTAACGCTGTATGTATATTAAACATACATCTTGTAAGAGCTAAATCTACCTATTGCAGGTCTTTGTTTGGGCCTAACATATTATATGAACTATTAACATGAAAAGACCTTAATCAACACTCGATGCCATCTTATGTGTGGATTTGAATTAGATTTGCTGCTCAACGCTCATTGATGATTTAATCAAAAAAATGGATAATCGAGACAATGTTTTTTTTATCATACCGACTTTAATAATGATGATCGAGGTTAAGCCTAAAATTCAAACGCTAATATCTCGGTTCAGAGTGGATCAATTTGACTGAAATTTTCAGCATATTCCCTTTACATTATCTAGTTTTTTTTAACTATTATAGTGAGAACTGTCAGCTCTTTACATGTATATGATCTTCCATAATGCCCCTTTAATAGCGCTATATTTGTTTCAAGTATAAATCCACATCAATTATTCTTATCCTTCATGTGTCAAGAGAATGAACAACATACTTCAAATAAGAGACTGAACCTAATATACCGTAAGTGAATTATGCTTCATAATGATAAAATATTCATTTCCACGATTCCTTTTCTCTTATAAATAGATCTAAAAAGATCTATACATCTCTGTACACTCCCCTCAGCACATAACTTCAGACAAGATGATTTTCAGACAAACAGCCAACAACCTTTACATTAAAGTGGTACGGTTATACGGTACGGGTACGGTTATACAGTACGGTAAGTGCAGCAAAACCACACCACGCATGAACAAATAGAAGCAAAAAGGCGCATCACACAAGGACATTAAAATTGCAATTAAACATGATCAAATCAAGAGAATGGATTCCGGTGTCAGCCGTAGCCAGGGGCTAAGTGAGAGGGACTCAATGACGAGCTTTCCGTCTTGGTTTGGAGTTTTTGCGCCCCTCGCAAATGGCAAAAAATCATGCTGTTTCAATATTATAATCATACGCATAATGCTCAACCAGAGAGAGAGAGAGAGAGAAATGGGGTTTAACGTCCACTCAACACAAACTAGGTCATTTCGGGACTAACATATGGTTAATTTTATTTCATTAATTCGCTTGCGCGTAGGGGTCTTTAGCAGTGGGAGGAAACCGGAGGACCCGGAGAAAACCCACGAGGTTGGACAGGCGACCCTACTCCTTGTCACGTACAACCGGGGATTCGAAACCACGCCAGTTGACTCAATGACAGACTTTATGATACAGCGCGCGCACGCTAACCATTCAGCCATCCAACCCCCCCTGCTCAACCAGTCTCAAACATATACTGTGGGTCAGATATGCTACAAATCGACTCTAGCATGTTCCACACAGCAGCCCAATATTACCAGGTAGAACTGGGAGGGACTGCCATCCCACCCCCTCCCCCGCACACATATAAATATTTGGGGGGGGAGGGGGGGGGGCGGGCGGGATCTTGTTCCTCATGCAAAATCATGAGTCACCACGCCCCTGGCCATAGCATCCACTCATCTGTACAGCCCCGGGCTTAGGGACGATATAAGAGAACGTAAATTTTATTGAACCGTGCAAAGAATGCAGGCTGCATGACCACTGGATAATATTAGTTGTCTCACGGCAGTTTTAATTTGATCATATTTTGTCCTTCTATAAAGATGGGGACAAAGGAGAAGAAATCATATCTTTGGTGGAATTTCCCCCATAGACTATATTAACACAATTTGAAGCCGGGATCAGTGCGGAAGTGTTAAGTGAGAAATTAAAATGAAATATTAATATAGGTATATTAGGAATGTATACTTTTCTGCACTAACAACAGGACCAATCGAGACAGGTCTGCGTTATAAATATCCCAGTCAACTCCTATCCTGTTAAAATCTGCGGTTTAAATGACTCTCTACCTTTAAATATCCAAATGATTTTATCGAGCGTCAAGTGCCCTAACCTTTAGGATTATAAATAGCACAAATAAATATAGCTGATTGAATAATAGTTCGATTCGACAAGTTACTCGTATAATTACGGCGTCTGTTTCTGCCATTTTGTTTGTTTACATAGATTGCTTGACGCAGACACAACAACTATATTTTTATCCAGACATGTCGGCTGGTGCTTTCCTATTGATTGGCGCAAAATGTATGTCACGAGACCGAGCCAGGCGTCCTATAAATTGGTTATATAGTTAGATATATCTGTAATGGTAAATTTGCTTGTTTGAAAGGAGTGTGGCATGGTGCGTTTCATCTTATTATGCACTTATTCAAAAAGCAATCAAGGGACTAGATAGAGTAGTGTCAATCAATAAGACCATAGATATTACCAAACATGTCTGCTGGACTATAATGTGACAATACTCTGATTATTAGTATCGCTATTTGCAGTGCTTATCGAATAGTTGAATTTTCAAGGAGACTACCAGACAGTCTACATGTCTCACTTCATTATTATGCACTCCAGTCTGACGTCTAACAGTAAATGTTGGCACGCGCCCTGTAGATCGACAGTTAGCATGCGACATGTTAAATAACGTACAATTGACTATTCATTTACATATACCTATATATATATATATATATATATATATATATATATATATATATATACATGTATATATAGATGTATGGTAAACCCATCTGATTGTAGTGACACGCCACTGATAAGTCGTGACAGCAGAAATCTAACGTAAAGTTTATTTATAATCATAAATGAATGAACAGGTTAAGACATGTCTCAACTGTTTCAAACATGCCTGCTGACTGTTACTAATAAAAGTAACACAGTCACAAAAAGGGAAATAACTCCATTATTTCTCTAAACAGCTGTCCTATCAATTGAAATTCACGAACACAGTTGCAAATAAACGCTGCAATAAGGCACGTAAATTTCTCGTTTTTATGCCATGGAACAACTATGAAAAATATACACAAATTGATAACAAAAAACCCATTAGAGTATAACTTTTCAGTTTTATTATCTGGTCAAACTTCACTATTCGTTTGGGACAAAAACTTAATATGAACATCTTACGAAAATTATCGATGAAGAAGTAAAACTCAACCGAGAATTACTTAATAAACGTGTTAATCAATAACGATCAAATTAAAATACATGATAACCCTTCTGGCCCTTAAACGATCACATGTAGATTATATTGATAAAGTAATATAAAAAAAAACTTGACGAGATCAAACCTTGCTTGCTAAACGCAATACTTTCAGAGGTAGGCTTATAACCTTTAACCTAAATACATAGCAATATCAAATAAAAATTCAATTACATAACAAACAACTAAATGGATAATACAAATGATTTGTACAAAAACAGTAATTTATATACAAATAAGATACATTTATATACATTAGGACTTAATCTATGATAACCCAAGAACATAGAAGACATTGCATGAACATTAAATCATCGTTAAACAAAATAGAAATTGGCTAGGATTGCGAAGTATATTAAGCTTTTGGGTTCGTATCTATAATATGATTTCTAGTTTATTTTTAGAAAATTGGATGCAGAAAGGTGATTGAAATACAGTTAAAATAGATGTAACGGTGCACACAGGAGCATTAAATGACAGTTCTATTTTTACATCTGATTGTAAGCTACTATACAAATTAAACAGAAACGTACATCTTTATATAAATTAAATACACACATACACATCGTGATGAGCCCAATTTTAATTCATTAGTTCAACACGATAGGTCAAGTTAACACATATATGTACCGTTTATTGTGTATAATTATCTTATCTATTATCATTTATAATATAAGAATAATGAATAGTATATTAATTTGTCTGAATAAAAATATATCAGGCTTTGAAATAATGACTTACTGATCTATATACACTTAATTATATACACGCAGCTTATATAATATTATATTTGTAATTATCTTTAATATTTATACGAATAAATTATACCCAGACATAGATTTCAACTAATGCCCGATTATATTCTCTGAAAATTGGCTCCGATATATATATATATACACAAAATATTTACATATTTGTAAATATTTACATATTCCCGGTATTTGGGTTGATGTGTGTTTGTTTTTGTTTTTTCTTGTGGGTTTTTTGTTTGTCTTTGATTTTTGTTATGCGTTATGCCTATGAACTATATAGTTTGTATGAATAAAAGTTGAGGATTAAAAATAAAGTGGTCGATAATTACTCATATGGTTGGAATTTTAAAAGAATATGTATTATATACCATGAATCAAATCATACATGTAGGTAATGTGACTTAATTGACACGTGCTTCAAAGGCGGGAAAATAGCATCTGTAGATCGGTATCTACTGGTCTAAAGGCACATATCTGAAAATGTTCTGTTAATCTTTTCACCAGTGACTCGCGTTCTGCCAATAATTCGCCATGTATCCTTGTTAGATAGTCGTGTTCTGCTTGCAGCTTATTGATATCCTGAAACAATTGAGAATTTATTTAGCTAAATATTATTTCTTAATAACAGATACATGTACATAACTTATTATATTCATATTTTAAATTAATTGTTTTATATAGTTTGAAATTAATGATATACTAGGGCTGTGGGGGATAAATAAAAAATACCTACCTTCATTAGGGTACTTCCTTTGTTTTTATTTTTCTGCCGGAATCTGAGAGCAGCTAAACGGTTCTGCTCTCTTCTTCTTTTCTTTTTCTCAATCTCATGTTCAGTTAACTATATATATATATATATATAAAAAAAAATGTTGATAAGTTCTCGAAATTAAATTAGAAACTTTTGAAATAATATAACGTTGTTGTAATATGAACATTGTTTTGAATACAAACAATTTTTAAATAATGCTTTATTATGAAACTTCGAAAAAAGTTTCTTTTTCTTTCTTTTTTCTTATTGGCAACAATGTAGACATTGATTTAATTTGCATATTCGTATGTCATACACAGTCATATTTCCGTGTACTGTTGCCATGTGAAACAACATAGAATTTTGTTAGTTCTTATTTATTGTCAATATTTAAACTTTCATAAATTTTAATATGCGATATAAAGATATGAAATACAATACTTTAAAGACAGAATTTAGTTAAATCTAAAGATTGTTGTCATTTAGGTAGAACGGTAAAATTGTTGAAATTTGATAATTGATGCTATATTGAAATAAATTGTATTTGAATATCATCGAAATTACAAACTGCTTTCACTAATGAACAGTGGATTATTATGTAACTTCCTTTTTATTCAAAACACTTTGTTGTGCAAATTTAAAACAATTTTCTGAATAATTTCGAAAATGTATAAGAATTGTGGCATTCTTCTTTTATTAACTTGAACGCAAATTTATTACATGAAACCTTTAGGAAAAAAAAACAAATGTAATTTTTGTTTGAAATGTGAACATTGATATTGCCAGATATCTTAACCAAAATTCAACCAATTGAATATTGAGTTTTTCAAAAACGACGGATTTTCTCCTAAAGATTTGGTGTGCAATAATTTCGCGGAGAAACGCACTTTCGAAATGAAGTAAATTCTCAATTGATGTTATTTTTAAAAAAATTAGATGGACATTATATATTTTTTTTTTTTTTAATATATATATATAACCTGTTTAGATATCTATTTCTTTTCAGGCCTTGACCACGATGATATCAAATTTATCTTCTAGAATAATTGTTATTGAATTACATACTTGTGATTTATTGCATCAGACACTATACGATTATAAAACAATATCTCACTCTCTATCTGATCAGTAAATCTGATGACAAGAAAATGGCTCATCACGCTTTTGTTTTATTTGATTAGAGTGATGCAATAGAAATGTTTTTGTTAATTTTTAGGGATTTATTTTTTATCTCTGATTTCTTAATTTCAAATTATTAATAATATTGTACTCAAAAATGGTATTCTCGCATCCCTGCAGGCCTGTACGTTTACCATTGTACAGATATTTTTCTCTGATTTCTATATCTCAAATTATTAAGAATGTTGTACAAACAAAAATGATATTTTCGCATCCGTGATGCAAGCCCGCATATATAGACTTTTAGAGATATTTTCAAAGGGTTAAAAGGGGCCAGAATTCTTCTGTGGAACTTATTCAGGTTGGAAAGTTATTATCATGAATTTTTTTATCATGGTAATGTTTATCACCCTTTCTTATATATTAATAAATGTATTCTTTTCTTAATTCCAACTTGGCAGAATAGTAGGACGTTAAACTCCATTTCATGTTCATTTTAATTCTAATTTGATACACATTACTAAATATTCTGGTTACTTTTGTTCAAGATAGAAGAAATGTATTGTTTAAGCGGCATTTAATAACTGAATAGAATAACACATGGCACGATTATATGGAATACTTAGAAGTTTATTTCTGGCAATGTTCCGACGAGGATTCTCTCGTCTTTATCAAGCAAAGATATAAGATTATGAATATAAACAAACGCATGTCACAAATACGGGTATTAATCATTCACCTGCCTATCTTTCACATTTTTTGCCAATTTTTAAACATGACACGATCTTTGAGACAACAAAATCAGAAGATATAAAAAAGGCACAGGTACCTCCATTTTCTTTTCAACAGTAGGTTCGATTTGTAATTCTTCTTTCCCTTCTGTGAATCTCCGGAACTTGATGGAATATTTTATTTCTTGTTTCAAGATGGGAATCATGTCGCCTGTTTCCATGCATTTTTGAGCAGCGTTGAGCATATCTTTTTCTTCCATATTGTTTTGACTCATCATGTTGTTAGTCATGGTGGTATCGAGGTTGTTGTCCATAAGTAAATCCGAGAATACACACGACATGATGTTCTACTATGAGATATATATTATTGTAGGTAGTAAAACCACAAATATGTATGACTGTGTCATATATCTATAGCTCTATATCGCCTCGTGCCTCGCGCGTATATAGTAAAATTTCCTAATATACGCGTGTAGCCTCTAACCAAAAGCGAGGATACCAATCAGCTTATTGGTTAATGTACTTCACGTCAGAAAATGGGTAAATAAAAATAGCCCTTGCAGTTGACGATAACGCTTTCAAAATACTTTGGGCCTGCGGGCTCAACATAATCCAGGTGATAGCCAATAAGCAGTATGTTAAACCATTGTATATTGGTTGAAACTACGCATATTCGTCACGAGAATTTGAGACGGGCAGATGTGTAGCTCCGCCCCGTTGAGGTAAGCGTCTTATAAATATTATTGATCACGTGATATATACCTACTCATTTGCATACAATAACATGGATTGTGCGGGCATGACTGATCATGATTAGAAAATCGTAGACGGTAAATGGAAAGTAGTTTTGTTGTCTGTTCTTATTGCGCATCGATAGTTCTATTTAGCAGCAGAAAGTAACAGCCAAATTACTTTCTTAAATGTGAAACAGCACGGAACAAATTAAACACACCGATACACACAAACTAAACTTCATTCCAAACAGATCTATTATATATACAGTGTCATAGAACTTGCTACTTAAAATGTACTCTAGAATTCTAGAAGCTTTGTATAAGACAGTGGTCACACTGCATAACTTGGCATATTGTCAATATGAAAGTAAAATGGAGCTTTAACTTCCTACTGTTCTGCACCGATTGGACTAATGGATAATATACGCCACAGTGTGGTATGCGGGAAATTTTGCCCGAACAGCGGCATTACGGACACTTTTTTCGAATTCCGAATGTCAAGGGTTCTTTTACGTGCACGACAATGTGTACACTGTCCTATCCGAACGACTATACGTTGTGACTTGCCAGGTCCTTCGTCCTACACTGACAATGCGGGAGCGATGGGCGGGGGCGCCGGAAAATCCCTATCTTTCTCGACCAACACCAGGATCTCCTGACCAACGTCTTACTCACTGAGGCACCGCGAATCCTTATTGTCAATATGTACCTATATATGAATATACAATATAATACACCAGGCTATTTCAATAAAACAAATAATCAAACGTTTGTCAACGCATAAATTATTAAGTTGCTAGAATGTAGACTATAAAATATTGAAGTATCTAATTTCCTATTGGCAAAATAACAAACCAACATGGACCATATGCATGTTAGTGTTTGTGGAGTTTTAGATGAACGCCCCATTTCTATTGTAAACGGTATACTTATTGGGGGTTTGATGGCCGAATGGTTAGCGCGTGCGCGCTGTACCACAAGGTCTATCATTGAGCCTACTGGCGTGGTTTCGATTCCCCGGTTGTATGTGACAAGGAGCTGGGTCGCCTGTCTAACCTCGTGGGTTTTCTCCGGGTCCTCCCGTTTCCTCCCACTGCTAAAGACCCCTACGCGCAAGCGAATTGTTGAAATAAAATTGAACCATGTTTTAGTCTCGAAATGACCTAGTTTGTGTCGAGTGGACGTTAAACCCTCTCTCTCCCTCTCTCTCGGTATACTTATTACCTTTTTCATCTTCAGTGGTTTTAATTGATCAATTAGTATTATGAACATGAACGTGGATATTATTAAAAACCGGTTCTACAAATTGTAATTAAAATATTTCTACAGATTATCAATGAATCGATGAAGACTGAGTATGTATGTATAAATTAGCTGTTATCACGTAATACCCGAATATACTTGTATAAAAAACAAAAACAAGTCGACAGAAATAATAAAAAAACAACATAATTTATTTGGAAAACAAAATGCACGTTTCGATAGGTGCTCTAACTGAAAGGGAAGAGAAATAATGTTGAAACGCCGTAAAGGATGAATTGAATATTCGTTTTACAATATAAATTTATCTCTCTCTTGCATTTTTTAACTTAACATTTGAATACTAACTTGGTTGTCTAAAACGATATTATAAAATGCTATTATAAAAGGAGTTTATAAAATGATATTATCAAGTTAAATTTTGAATATTCGGATCTCATTATTATTTCATATAAATACGCATGTATTTCAAACACAATCTATTCTTGTAGGCCATAAAATTAAGATTCTTTTCCGTTTAACGTTTCCTCTTGTGATTCATTTGAATTCAAACGGATCCAAAAATTAAAATATGACTTGTTTAAGTACAGTAATCCAATGTATTCAAAAATATATAGTTGAACTCACATCAACAACGTCAATATTTTACGACATATAGAGCAAAGAAATGTGAGAGAGTTTGAGCACAACAATTGAGTTGCAACTATGTGTGGTTATTTTACGAACACTCCCAATATCTTATCGGCTATAAAAATTAATTCCAAAACAAATTATGTTAGGATATCTGTTAATATCATGGCCATTGTTTTGGTTTATATAGAAATTTATATATTAATATCCATCCTCGTTGGTTTTCTCCGGGTCCTCTGGTTTCCTCCCAGTGCTAAAGACCCCTACGCGCAAGCGAATTATTGAAATAAAAAATTGAACCATGTGTTAGTCCCAAAATGACCTAGTTTGTGTCGAGTAGACGTTAAACTCCATTTCTCTCCCTCTCTCATATATTAATATACATGCAATGAATATTATGTAATTTTTATATCTGGCTTTTTCCTTGATAGGGTAAACAATACGAAAAACAATACGTTGCACATCTGAAATATGTTATTTAAACATACATTATGCAAGAACTAAATATGCCTATTGTGGGTCTTTCTTTGGACCTGAAATGTTATAAATACTATTAATTAGACATTTATTAACATGAAAAGACCTTACTCAACTCTCGATGCCATCTTATATGTCGGATTTCACTGGATTTGAATCCGATCTGCTGCTCAACGCCCATTGATGATTAAATCCAAAAATGGATAATCAAGACTATGTTTTTTATCGTACCGACTTTATTAATGATGATCGAGGCTAGGCCTAAAATTCAATCGCTAATATCTCGGTTCAAAGTGGAGCAATTTGACTGAAATTTTCAGTATATTCTATTTTTTAACTATTATAGTGCGAACTTCCAGCTCTTTATCTAATCTCCCATAATGTCCTTTAATGGCAATCCGAAATGCTAAAGGGAGTGGAAAAAAAGCCATTTCGAGAGAGAGACATAAAAATTATTTAATGTGATTCACGAGATACCAAAAATTAATCTTAATACTCCATTTTAGTATTCGCACATTAATACAATATGTATATCCTGATCCATGGTGAAGATTATGAGCAGTGTAATTCAATAGTATAGAACAATGGATATCAGAATACAAATATTTGATTAAAATTAAAACTTCAGAAAAATTGGATTATAATAGGCACAGATGGATATACATGCTTCGTTGTTTGTTAAATACGTCTTAATTTGTGATTGTTAAATATGTCTGTCTTCTGTAAGTTTATCGTTGAAATTTTGTGTTTAAAAAACCCAAACACAAATCGGAACTAATAAAAACACAGACAAATGATGTTAATAATCAAGTTTAAATATCTCTCTCTCTCTCTCTCTCTCTCTCTCTCTCTCTCTCCACCAATTCTCACATTTTACACACACACGTTTACATATAGACAGTGACATATTCAGGATAATTCGTGTAAAACTAGTGTATTCGTTCATGTTAGATTTATTCTAAGCGGTTTCATTTGGCCCTTTCCCCCCAATCTAAATGGCTTGAAAGCAATGCGGCCTATATACATGTATACTATAGTTCGAAAACAAAGATTGATCCAAACAGATTTTGTTTATTTTTATGCCTTAATTTCTATATCCTATCAATATTAATTGTTATATAAATGACGACGTTTATTTTTGTTGCATGTTTGTTTTTGGGTTTTGGGGGATTTTTTAAGAAGAAGGAAAAGTCACACTGTAATTTCAGATTTTTCGTCAGTTATATGATCCCATGACCCATCCCAAAAAGGGAAATAAAAAAAAAAAAAGAGGGAAAAAAAACAGATAAATAAGTGTTAAGCTAAATATATGTGATGGATTTTATTGTATTTATAGTTATATTTGATTGTATATAATTGTGTTAATTTCACTGTTTCTAAATTTCACCTTTACCCTTCACTTCATAACCCGAACAATCACACCTATACCTTCATACAGTCACCCACGTTCATACACTGTCACACCTTCATATAAGGTAACATATACGGCCACGGGGAGTTTATCAAATTATCCAGCAAAGTACTAGCGGGTTATTTGTTTTTTTTAATTGGGTGTGGGGGCGTCTTGTTTTCTATTTCTCTTTTTGTGTGGCTTTCAAATTTTATCGCTTATTTCTGATTTTTCATTTAATGAATTTCTGAAAATTATATACTTCAATCTAATAAATTTATTTGGTGGAGGACGAGAAGCCCGGGAGGAGAATATGGCTATTGTAATATTATAATATTGGATGAAATTTTTTAAAAAGGGGACAAGCAGAGTTTAATATTTGGGGTTGGGCCTTGTTGTGTTTTTTTGAAATTTATACCACTCTTTAATTTCCCTACTGCCTTGGCTTTCTAGACCCACTGAAAAGGCTATATTTGACACATGCATAAACCATAAACTGATTTTATTATCTTCATAAACCATAATATAAATTGATTTGTGGTATATGTATAATACAACATTTGCAACAAAAACAGACAAAGAAATAAATCATTAATATTTTCACTCTACCTTCTACTGGCTTGGTAAATCCGATTTATTTTTATGTATTTGCATGAAATCTGCAATAAGACTGAATGTCAACACATTTAATATATTATAATGTCCTACCCGGTATATACTGATACAGATGTCGTTATCGATAACAAACATGGTGACCCAAGGCCAACCTTTCTCATGATGCAAGCTCATCATATTTCAGACGACAAAACGCGTGAGGGGAAGAGGACGTGTTGCAGTCAAATATGTCCGTTTCCTGCAAGAACTGGTATATACTATATACAGGCTATATAATTTCGCTGTAGAGATTAGACTGATTGCGTCACGGTATAGCCCTTAGATCTCTTATAAATAATTTACAAATTCACCTCCACTCCTTTGACAATTTTAAAATTAATTTGCTATAGTTTTGTGTGATACAGTCACGACCGTGAACCAATAGCTCCTTTACTTTGCATATTATATCAGTCACAGCGTTTGTATACAACTAAAACGACGTTCATTTTTATTGCATGTTTGTTTTGTTTTGGTTTTTTGTGGAGGGTTTTAAGAAGAAGTCACTGTTAACCCATTTTCTAGATTACTTGAATAATATCCAAAATAATTTACTTTTG